GTCTGGTTTTGATTTAATATATAATTTTAAAAAATAAAAAATGACTTTTAAATCACATATTTAAACTAAAGATATATAAAATATATTAAACTGTTGTTGAAATTAAAAAATTATCAAAAAAAAGGAGAGTATTAATTAATTTGTGGAATTTAGTGTCTTTGTTTTTTTTTCCCCTCATATTCACACTTGTGAAAAAATAATTAATGGTACTTTTCCCCTTTTTGTACAAACTATAATAATAAAATCTTCTTATATCTTCATATTTTAATACTCTAAATAACTATCAGTCTCTCATTGTGCCTTTTTCACTCCACTTTTTTCTCTCTCTCTAAATTTTCTTATAACCAAACAAATCATAACAAGTTTGAGGTTTTCCTTTTGAGGAATCTTATAATTTGCCCTTTTTTTTTGTTTTTATTTTATATTTTCCTTTTGATATGATTAGAGAAAAAGATTGTTTTTTCAGTGGTGTTAGATTCATTGAACCAGGACAGCATTTGGTTACTTGCATCTTGTTCCTCTAAAAGGTTTGTATTTTTTTTTTCTGTAAAAAAAATTAAATTTTAGAATAAGTGGAATTTTTTATTTTTTTAATTTGGACCATAGAGTGTGCATATCTTGCTTTTATGTTGTGTTTGCCTTTTCAAAATACTGTTTGTCTCAACATTTTTGGAATGCATTTTAACTTTTTGAAAAATTCGCGATTTAGAATTTTAAGTTTATGAAATTTTTCGCTAGAGGTTTGGTTTAGTGTTGGAGTGCATTATGTGATATATGTTGTTTAGACGCGCGACATTGATTTGAATTACGTGTAAGATAAAATGTTGGGTGTTTAAGTGAAGAAACATAGAAATACGAGCTCGTTATTCATGGATTTTCGAACCATGAGCCATTGACCCTTTCGAGATTTCTCTCCTAGAAAAAAGTTTTTTTTTTTATGATAATACGTGTCATTTGATATTTTTATGATTCTAATATATGTTATTTACTTCTCTTTTTTAGCCAACTAAATATTTAGTTTTCCTGAAAATGGAGAATATCTTTTTATATTTATAAGTAATTATCATTAATATCTTGTTTCATTGTAAACTGTTAATATCAAAAATATTTATGTTCTTTTTTTGTTAATTTCGTGCTTATTTTAATGTATTATATGAATTGAGACAGATGGAGTGTTTAGTAATATATTATAGGACATATGCCTTTTAAAAGTTTCAATAAAGTAGATAATATCAATAAATTATCATGACTTTTAAATTTTTAATGTCGATATTACCATTTACGTGTTTCATTAATTTGATCTTTTTTTATCGAAAAAATATCACAAATAAGTTTACCTTTTATGAAGTTCTTTAAATGTAATAATTAATTATATATGGTACCTAAAGATAATTAAGTAGGTAGAAAAAATTCATTTCTTTAATTTATAGGTACTAATTGGTCCACTATCAATGGTTTTTAAATAAGGCGTATGAAAGTTGGATTTTGTTAGTTCTAAAATTGGAATAAATAAACTTGTATTATTATTTGTCCGTTTGTTGAGATGACTCGATTGGTTTAAAGAATAATCCGAGATCACTTTCCCTCAATGCCTTTTGCGTTTTTGCATCTCCAGTATGATTTGTAGACTATTACACAGTCAGGTGTTTTATCTGTGTGGGTTTTCTTAAAGGTTCCAAAAAAAAATGAACTTTGCTTGAAATCATATAAAAAATGTTCTAAGTACAGAAAGTACAGCGCTTGATATTCTTTATTGTTATTAAACATCTTAACAGTAGAACTACTTTCGTATGTTTTATTAGATAGCTAAAGAGAATGAGTCATGATCATGGAATTATTCAGTGGCGGATTCAGAATTTAAATGTTATGAATGCTGTGAGTTCTTAGTTTTTCGAAATGTATATGTTACTCCTAAGTTAACATCAAACAAGATATTTTATCTTTAGTGTATGCTTACATTAGAATAAATTCCTCAAAACAGAACAAATTCAAGTATCAAACAAACATAAAGCCTTTTTTCACTTGTTGTATGTTGAACAGATAGGTTGAACAGAGTATCATGTTCTGTTTAATGAATTCGAAGTTATTCTAGATTTCGTCCTAGTGATCTTTAGTCGTCAATTGTTCAATCTTGTCATACTAGATGTATTCAAATTATAGAGGTCGTTAACATTTCATGCTTACTTTGTGTAAATCAATGGTTATCGACCATCCATATGTCATTTAGACAGAATATAAAATTGTTCTGTAGTTTCTAATACTAGTATGTGTTAGGCAAATGCTTACTTTTTAGCACACCACTAATAGTGTTGTAGAGTTAAAACTCTAACTTGTAATTCTCTAGTTATCTATATAAAGGACAAGCAAGAACTTTCTAATGTAGTGCAAAGTTCAGTAAGTTTTGGAACTAAAAGACTCCCTCTGAGTTCGTCGAATTTTGAAAGGGTTGGTGTAACTTCTTGGTTTATCACATGGTTTTACATCTAATAGAAGTTGATCTAATATCTTGATTGAGGACACGACCTTAGATAAGAGTGTATGGAGGTCGTGGGATTAGGGTAGAAGGTTAGTAGATAGTTGAGTGTTGTCTTGTTTTTCGATAGGATAGAGCTTGGTGGTAGTCTGTTGTGGGTAGTATTAGCCTTAATGTAGTTTCTGGCTTTTGGTATATGTTATCGTTCTATGTTTAGGTGATCGCACTATGTTGTTGATGTTTCTTGCATTGCGTTCCTATTAGTTGTCATGTTTTCTTCACTGTCGTTTTTCCTTTCCATTTCTGCTTTGATTTGCTTCACTTTAAGTCGAGGGTTTTCCGGAAACAATCTCTATACCTCCACGAGGTATGAGTAAGGTCTGCATATCCTGTACATATGGTGGTGTTGATTTAGCTGCGATAACTAGCTTGAATGAAACTTAAAAGTATTTCGTATGGTGATATAACTCAACTGTATTTCCTTTGCATTACAGGTGAATTAGGTGTTCTTTTCTAGCATGGCTAATTCTAATGCTGACGCAGAAGAAAAAAAAGAGATGGATATAAGGAGTTTCTCTTCGTCGCAACACAACCAAACACCCTATATTCACAAGGTTGGAGTCCCTCCAAAGCAGGGCATATTCAAAGAGTTTAAGACTACTGTTAAGGAAACGTTCTTCGCAGATGATCCACTACGCTCTTTCAAGGATCAACCGAGGTCTAGGAAGCTTGTACTTGGTTTACAGGCCATATTTCCGATACTAGATTGGGGTAGAAGCTATAACTTAAGAAAATTCAGAGGTGATCTTATCTCTGGTCTCACCATTGCAAGCCTTTGTATTCCTCAGGTAAAGAGTGTTCCTGGACTATGTTGCTCGGATCCTCCGAAAATGCATAACTTGTAAAGGACACGACACGCACCTGATGACATTTTCGAAGGATCTGAGAAACATAGTGCCCGAAGGATTTGTATTAATGAAATCAGTATTGTTAGGATCTTTACAGAACTATTATAAAAAGCTTTCAACTGGTATGACAGGACATTGGCTACTCAAAGCTTGCTAATTTAGATCCTCAGTATGGATTATGTAAGTGTTCCTTATTAACTTTATTTTTTTTAATAATCGCGAGAAATCCTTTTTCATTCTTCTCTTTTGTTTGAAATTTCAGACTCCAGCTTTGTTCCACCTCTAGTTTACGCCTTCATGGGCAGTTCAAGAGATATAGCCATAGGGCCTGTGGCTGTTGTCTCACTCTTGCTAGGAACTCTGCTCCGTAATGAAATTGATCCGAGTAAACATCCAGCCGAGTATCTGAGGCTTGCTTTCACAGCAACCTTTTTCGCTGGCATTACTCAGGCTACTCTTGGGATCCTAAGGTGATTAATACATTTAAGTATCGAGTTGTATATATAGTCAGACCTCTCTATAACAACATTTCACTGTAACGACCACGTTTTCTTTGTAACCACTTTTTCATATTACGATATATCATATCTTCTCTATAACAGTCATTTTGCTCTAGCAGATGAATAACATTCAGAAAAAACGATATTGTTATAGAGAGGTTTTACTGTATTTGTTCTTTGTTTCCTTCTCTTTCTGACTTGCCCTCCCGCGTTGTTTTCTTGGCAGATTGGGATTCTTGATAGACTTTCTATCTCATGCTGCTGTTGTTGGATTCATGGGTGGTGCTGCCATCACAATTGCCCTTCAGCAACTTAAAGGTTTTTTGGGCATTAAGAAGTTTACGAAGAAAACAGATATCATTTCTGTGATGAAGTCAGTGTTTCATTCAGTCGAACATGAAGTAAGTTTTCTTGTCACTCGAGAACATCCTGCGTAAGATGTCTTTTATGTATAACTTGAAATTTCGCAACAACTTGCAGTGGAATTGGCAGACAATACTCATCGGAGCAACCTTTTTAACTTTCCTTTTGTTCGCGAAGTACATTGTAAGTATCTTGAGCTCTATTGACTAAATTTTGAAAGCATTTGGTGGCGGTTTACTCGATTCTAAGATATGTTTGGCAACCAGGGAAAGAAGAATAAAAAGCTGTTCTGGGTACCTGCAATTGCTCCTTTGATTTCTGTCATTCTTTCGACTTTTTTTGTCTACATTACTCATGCTGATAAGAGGGGAGTTGCCATAGTAAGTTCTTTTTTTAGATTCTTTCTACTTTCACTCAACTTTCCATCATTGTAGTAAAATGATGATCTCTTTTTAAACAACTTGTATAACGATCTTACCAGGTAGGACGCATAGAGAAGGGAATCAATCCTCCATCTGTCGATAAAATATATTTCAGTGGTGACTATCTCATGAAAGGGATTAGGACTGGTATTGTAGCTGGCATGATTGCATTGACGGTAAGTGAAATCTTGAATGAAATGTCGAAGAAGGAACCTTTTCACCTTTCCGTACTAAATGTATGATCTTCATAGGAAGCTGTTGCAATCGGAAGAACATTTGCTTCAATGAAGGACTACCAGTTGGACGGAAACAAAGAGATGGTGGCTCTTGGAGCTATGAACATCGTTGGCTCGATGACATCCTGTTATGTAGCTACAGGTAAAACAAATCAACAAGCAAACGCAGTATGATCAGTAATGATACAATGTGTTTTCAACTTTCATCACATTAATTGGTTTGTCTAACTAGTTGATCGATTCACTTCTTGCAGGTTCCTTTTCTCGATCAGCAGTAAACTACATGGCTGGCTGCCAGACCGCATTTTCCAACATTGTCATGTCTGTTGTCGTGTTCCTAACTTTGGAGTTCATAACACCTCTTTTCAAGTTTACTCCGAATGCTATCCTAGCTGCTATCATCATCTCAGCTGTACTAGGCTTAATTGACTATGAAGCTGCAATTTTGATCTGGAAGATCGATAAATTTGACTTTGTTGCTTGCATCGGAGCATTTTTTGGCGTGGTCTTTGCTTCTGTTGAAATTGGTCTTTTGATCGCGGTAAGTCCATACAGAAAAACTCAACAATCTCATCATTCAGTAATAAGATCTGATAGTTTCATTTTTTCCAAAGGTAACAATATCATTTGCTAAGATTCTCCTCCAAGTCACGAGGCCACGAACAGCTACTCTAGGCAGGATACCGCGGACAAATGTATATAGAAACACTCAACAATACCCCGAGGCAACCAAAGTTCCTGGTGTATTGATAGTTAGAGTTGATTCTGCTATATACTTTTCAAACTCTAACTATATAAAGGAAAGGTAAAACGACATTTCTTCCCCTTTCCTCCCTTCCTTTCGTATCTTTAGTACTACGAAAAAACTGAACTTAACAAACTAATCAACGCGTTTTTTCAGGATACTGAGATGGCTGATGGATGAGGAAGAACAACGAAAAGCAACTAGTGATCCTAAAATTCAGTTCTTGATCGTTGAGATGTCACGTAAGTAGAGATAAAAAGTATGTTATCTTACTCTGAGATGATATATTGATCGATCCATCCTTCGTGTTTTTTTCTCCTTGTAGCTGTTACTGATATTGACACCAGTGGTATCCATGCCTTGGAAGAGTTGCATAGAAGCCTAATAAAGAGAAATGTTCAGGTAAATCATCTTTTACATATGTGAAAAACTACGAATATTTCAACTAACGTGTCTGTAACACGTCCAGTTTAAATTCTGGATCTGCCTCTGTAATACATATATGACTCGGAATCTTACCTTCGTTACAGCTTGTTCTGTCGAACCCCGGGAGAGTAGTGATTGACAAGCTACATGCATCCAAATTTCCAGATCAAATTGGTGAGGACAAGATATTTCTCACAGTTGCTGATGCTGTGCTAACATGTTCATTAAAATTGCCTGAAGAAGTTTAATATTGTAACCAGAAAAAGACCAAGGGGAAAAAAAATATCAACCAAAAAAGTATACAAAAAAGGAGTTGGATTCAATTTTTAGTGACTTGTGGGATCCTCAAAAAAAAGTGATTTAGACATTTTATCCAAAAGAAAAAGATAGTGGCCCTTTGGTTCTTAGCCAAATTGTCATAAATTATTCTTGATTGGTTAAAATTTAGTGTAGTTAAAATATAGTCTATTTTACAAGTGTTCCCCTTTTCTTGTTTTTGTTTAGAGGCTATTATGTATTACTAAACAAGACCTATGTAAACTAGTTTAAGATGGTTTTGTTTTACCATGGTAACAAAAGATTATAGTGTTAACATGAGATGTTTTATGTACTGAACAGTGTTTTCGCGCTTTTTTTTATATATCCTTTCTTTAAATATATAACAAATAGTATCTTCCTATGTGATTTTTTTGTAGGTTTTAGCCGTTAAGTGGCTAAGATCGTTATGGTTAAATGTGATTAAATGAAATTTCTAAGATTTCAGAGTTTAATCATTAAAGACCATCAATTTGAGGGGCAAAGATTTAAAGACCGCCTTGAAATACGTGTTATTTGTGCAAAACCTCGATTGACAATTCCGTGAAAATTACTCTATTTGTTTCTAATTACTTGTTCATTTTGAGTTGGCACACTTGTAAAGAAAATTGACATAATGAATTTATCATTTTACTCCTATTAATTATGATGTGGATGAATTAAAAACTTAAGATTTTAAGAAGTTGTACCTTTTTTTAAGTAATTAATTGAGGGTATAATAGGTAAAAAAATATATGTGTCATTTCTTGATTTGTCAAAACGAACGAGCAATTATGAACAACTAAAAAAGGAAAAATCAAACAAGTAATTGAAAATAGAGGGAGTACTAAGACCAAAACTTCTTGTTTTAACATCACTTAAGAATGTCCTTAATTCAATCTGCACTCAATGGTCTATTGACTTCGACAACAACATGTCCAGCGTAATTCAAATTTTAATTTGAAAAGAACAGAGTATACACAGACCTTACCTTCCTACTTTGGAAGCAAAATAGATTGTTTTCGAAAGACACTCGATTTTAACGTCATGCACCAACATAGACATAAATATATTTTAAAGGCATTGACCAAAGTTCTATCAAGACCTGGCACTCTTGCTACAAGCTAAAACTATGAATAACACAAAATAATAATAGTGAAATGAGAAATAAAGGATGGTCAAGAGAAACTCAGTACTGAATAAGCAACTAATTGGAGCATAAATTACAGCTCACATTTTATTTAGACATTCATTCAATAAATAAATTTCAAGGCTAACCAATTGTTAGACAGATTATAAGTTGACGATGTAATTATACATAAAAGAGTGATCAGGTCTGCAGGTAAGGAGCCTGCTGAACCGCGAATCTTTCTGCTCAAACGAATGAAGACTACACCCTGCTCACTCTCAAGATGCTAAATATTTACACTCTGCAAGACAAATTTAAACCAGTGGTTCTGCCTAGCTTTACAATGTATTATCGATAGTGAAGAGAGAACACATCGTGGTACAGATTGTGTGCTAACCGTGCTGCTTCTCCATAGAGGTGGATGGACTGGTTGGCAGGAAACTGTCTGATCAAATGGAAGGCAATGATTGCTGACAGGTTACGAGCTGCTTGACTAATTAAGCACCTTTTTTAGGTCACTGATCAAATGCTCTCGTGTTGCTGGCTCGACCTGCACATGGAAACATGAAGTTTTTATTAAGGAACCTTAAGCAGGTAAAGATAAAAAGGAGGGGGGATCAAAATTTTGGAAATGTTGATACTACAGAAGAGATTTGATTGCTAACCTTCTGTAGGAGGGAAAGAAGACCTTGTGGTAGGGCATGTAAATCCAATGTCGAATCACCAATCTTCGATAGCTGAAGTAGTACCTTTTGCACCCGCAATTCTTGTAGTTGTTCTTCATAGTTCTTGGGGTCATTCTTCCATGAGAAAAAGGCTTCATCATCGATCCAAGCATCTACATTGCCTTGTTTTGAATCCAAAAACCAGCTTTTCACCATACCCATAGCAGATTTATAAGAAAGCTGGTCACCAGCAGCATTCCTCACAGTTTTGACCAACATTTCCTCCTCTACTCTTCGAAGCAGACGTCCGTAAAAGAATGAACGAGAAGTTTCCCAATCTACTATTTTACGGATCACCCCCGTGGACGCCATTCTTGACGAAGTATCATGTAACTCTGCAAACTTTGTAGCTATCTGCGTGTATACGGGCAAAAGCTGTGTCTCACGGGTTTTAATTTGCTTCACTAGGGCATCAACATTAGCGTATACCCCTGCGGTCTTGGCTTCCTGAAGCTTTGACTTGAGATTGATAAGCTGTTGGTCAGTCCTACCCATGCACTCGAGCTGTTCTTTTGTTCTGAATCTAATTTCAATCATACCTTCCGGCTCAAGGACATTTCCCCTGGCTGTCCGTTCCGCATACATTTCGATGTGGTCTGAATTGATCTTACTGTCCACAACCACCCATGCCCCACCACGGAGTTCACCCATCATAGGGATGTAAACAAAAACAGGCTGCTTGTATGTTCTGAGGTTCTCGACAATGGTTGATCCTGCTTGAAGGATACCTTCAAAGAGATCCCTCTGTCCACCTGAAAATCCCCTCCAGTTGGCAAGAATGAAAAGGGGCAGCTCCTCTCTATTGAAGTCCATTAATGCTTGAGCTGTTTTAGTTGCAGAGTCGGGAAACCATACTTGCCCTGCTTGAGGGACAACCCTTTCGTGAGAATCAAGCTGTCCAGGATCCGCAGGGATAACTTGCTTCATAGTTTGGGTTTCAACAGCAACTATTCCTACAGGGATTCCTCCAAGTTTTGCCCTGCCAGTCACAACAGTCCTTGCCCAGCCTTCCAGTGTCTCAATGAAGCTCTCCTTGTCAAAAATGCCTCCCAACCACGTTCCACTTGCATCTGTGAAGCCAGATATGGCTGCTCGTGGATCACATGTGGTTTCTGGGAAGTACTCAACAGGTCTCTCTGGAGGATCCACAGGAGTTGAAATAGGAAGTGGGCCACCACAATATGGTGGTACGAAGCTCAGCCAATTTAAAATCGCTGATATCCCCTCGAGGTCATCAGAGACAGTTAGATGAACAACACCATTAGTTGCCATAATTTTAGGTCCACCAAGTTGCATGTGGGAGCTATAAACTTCCCGACCCAAAAGTTTGTTAAGTGCAGAATAACCTGTTAGAATAATTGGCTGATCAAGCCTCTGTATACATCGCATACCAAGACGAGCAAGATAAGCACCTATGCCAACAGTTCTCCCAGTTACATATGTCAAGGTAAATGTTTCATGATATGCCCGAGAATAAGCACTTGCTATGGCTCCACTACCACTTAAGTTCTCAACACCTAGGCCATCCTCGTTCCCAATAATAGTGTCTATCACCCATCGAATTTCACCATTTGACAGCTTCAATTCATGTGCAATGACAGAAGATTTAATACGCTCATGATCCTCAGGAGTCAAGTATACATACTGAAAACCACGTTCAGGATTTGATTCATCAGACCATCCAACTTTGAAGCAAGACTTTACCTCCTCAGCTGCACCAATACGAGCTCCTGAATTTGCTGCCAAATAAATAAGTGGAATTTTCTGTGCGCAAGCAACATCAGTCACTGCTTGGAAAAATGCATCTTCTCTTGGGCCAAAAGATCCATTTATGTGGGTGACATCATTTGCCACAACAAGAATTTTCCTTCCCATAGGGAACTCGGGAGTAGACATTTCCATTATCCATGCCACCAAGCCGACATCATTGAATCCAGGCTGACGCACCACAGAGACAAGAGGAGTACCCCAGCTTCCTTCTTTGTCAGCAAAACTTAACTCTGTGACTTTCAGGAGGACCTTGTCCTTGGGCTTTTCTGTTCGAGGATTATGACTTGCCCAAGACTTCTCCAATGCTGCTTCAAATGCCTGCACGAGGGATTTTTTTTAGGATGTTGATATTGATTCAGATTGTAATAGCCAGCAGAATTCTACTTCTATCCAGATGTTTACCAGAGGAAAATCGTAGCAGTAAGTCGTGCTGTTGCTCTTGCGAGCCAAAAGCCGTTTCTTGTCAAGCGCATCCAAAGGTGGATATGGTGCTGTAACTGGCATCCCATTCAAAGGACCATTACCAATGGCTGAATGATACACTACTCTTTGTTTTCTTGTATCTTCAACTTCTCGATAAATCTGAGAATTCAATTTCCAATAGCATGATATCATAGTTAATAGTTTTCTATGAATAAAACCAATACATGAAGTTGGAATGAATTATTTCTTGATAATGGAACAACAAATGTAAGTCCAAAATTTTGTGGTGCTAACACAGTACTATGCACCTTTCTATCATAAGCTTGATTAACTTTAAACTGTCTACTAGAAAAGATAATAGAAGAGAGAAAATTGATATAAAGAAAGTGACCATTTGTGGTCCAAGGCCAAACGCTGGCTGATGTGTGCTCTCCAATACAATACAAGCCAGTTTCAGATCAGATAAATCATTTAAAAATCTCACATACATGCTAAATTTTACTTACATGAACAATGCAGGTGTGACCTGTCACATTTGCAACCAAAATCCTCCAAGCACCAGTTGCATCTCCTGCAGATGACACCCAAAGTTTCACCTCCCACTCACAAACACCTAACTTATGCATCTTCACACCAACAGATGCATTAATTTCATGCGCTAGGTCTTCTAAGATTTTCTGAACTTCCGCCTCTTTGTGCTCATTATTTAGGTCTGCCTTCCTGCAAAAAGTCATGAAGTGAGCCATTTGACAACTTTTGTCCTTAATAGCAGATCATGAAGACAAACAAGTTACTGACTTATGGTATGGTAACAGATCAGCTATCTCTTGCTCTCGTAAAATATACAAGTACATATGAGCATGGTCAACTTTGAGAGTTGTATTATGGAGATTA